CTATTATGACATGAATAGATCTCAGAAACAATGTTGAGTTAAAAAAGGCAAAGTATTGGAAACTTTGAGCATGACAGTATGTTGTTTATAATTTTTTTTTTTTGAGATGGAGTCTCACTCTGTCGCCAGGCTGGAGTGCAGTGGCACACTCTCTGCTAACTGCAACCACCGTCTCCTGGGTTCAAGCGATTCTCCTGCCTCAGCCTCCTGAGTAGTTGGGACTACAGGCCTGCACCACTACACTCAGCCAATTTTTGTATTTTTAGTAGAGACGGGGTTTCACCATGTTGGCCAAGATGGTCTAGATCTTTTGACCTTGTGATCCACCTGCCTTGGCCTCCCAAAGTGCTGGGATTACAGGCGTAAGTCACTGTGCCTGGCCAATATAATTTTTAAATTAAAAGAATATGTTAGGCCGGGTGCAGTGGCTCATGCTTGTAATCCCAGCACTTTGGGAGGCCGAGGCGGGTGGATCGCTTGAGGTTAGGAGTTTGAGACTAGCCTGACCAACATAGTGAAACTCCGTCTCTACTAAAAATACAAAAAATTAGCCGGGTTTGATGGCAGCACCTGTAATTCCAGCTACTCAGGAGGCTGAGGCAGGAGAATCACTTGAACCCAGGAGGCGGAGGTTGTGGTGAGCCGAGATCATGCCATTGTACTCCAACCTGGGTAACAAGAGTGATACTCCATCTCAAAAAAAAAAAAATTTAATGATGTTTCATTTTACCTTTTACATTGACTTGGATTTTGGTTGCTTACATAGGAACCTAAGGCTTTGGAGCTATGCCAGCCTGATAGCTTCCAAGTTTATTTTATCAGTGTGCATACGTGTATGTGTATATTTTATGTGTATGTGTGTGTAAAATAATGTTTTATATATGCATTATATATATAGTTAACTTCGTATTTTGTTACAAATTTGAAATTATTTGGAAGCTTTTTTTTTTTTTTTTTTTTTTTTTTTTTGTTGAGACAGAGTTTCGCTCTTGTTGCCCAGGCTGGAGTGCAGTGGCATGATCTTGGCTCACTGCAACCTCTGACTCCTGGGTTCAAGCGATTTTCCTGTCTCAACCTCCTGAGTAGCTGGGATTACAGGCATGCATCATCACGTATGGCTAATTTTGTATTTTTAGTAGAGACAGGGTTTCACCATGTTGGCCAGGCTGGCCTTGAACTCCTAACCTGAAGTGATCCACCTGCCTTAGCCTCCCAAAGTGCTGGGATTACAGGCATGAGCCATGGCACCTGGCCAAGGAAGCTTGGTTCTTAATGACTGCATAGTATCTCATAGTTGCTTGACGTTTATGTTATTTCTAAATTTTGCTCTGGAATGTTGTTGTTTTTTTTTTTTTTTTTTTTTTGAGACAGAGTCTTGCTGTCACCCAGGCTAGAGTGCAGTGGTGTGATCTCAGCTCAGTGCGATCTTGGCTCACCGCAACCTCTGCCTCCTGGGTTTGAGCGATTCTCCTGCCTTAGCCTCCCCAGTAGCTAGAATTACAGGCCCATACCACCACACCCAGCTAATTTTTGTATTTTTAGTAGAGATGGGGTTACACCATGTTGGTCAGGCTTATCTCGAACTTCTGACCTGGTGATCTGCCTGCCTCAGCCTCCCAAAGTTTTGGGATTACAGGCGTGAGCCACTGCGCCCGACCTAGTTTACACTATCTTTAATAATGTATGAGTGAAAAAAGCAAAGCTCAGAGTGGGATGGGATCTCATTTGCATAAAAATGAAGGATGGAATTAGGCTATATACTTATAGATGCATAGAATATATTTCGAAGGATACAGTAGAATCAGTTAATAATGGTTGCTTGCCGGGCGCGGTGGCTCAAGCCTGTAATCCCAGCACTTTGGGAGGCCGAGGCGGGTGGATCACGAGGTCAAGAGATCGAGACCATCCTGGTCAACATGGTGAAACCCCGTCTCTACTAAAAATACAAAAAATTAGCCGGGCATGGTGGCGCGTGCCTGTAATCCCAGCTACTCAGGAGGCTGAGGCAGGAGAATTGCCTGAACCCAGGAGGCGGAGGTTGCGGTGAGCCGAGATCGCGCCATTGCACTCCAGCCTGGGTAACAAGAGCGAAACTCCGTCTCAAATAAAAAAAAAAAAAAAAAAAAAAAAAATGGTTGCTTTTCTGGGGAGGCAGATTGGGAATTTAGTGGAATGGAAATTTACTGTGAACCTTTTTGTACTGTTTTGAGTTTTCTGCCTTTGGGCATATTTTTCACTTAAAAATCTAATCAAAATAAAATTTCAGAAAAACAGCTATGTGAATGTATTTGAATGTATGCACCCCAACTTTCCTTTTACACATAAGGCCTATGGGAGATTTGGAATCTGGCATGAATTCTTATGCATGCGCACAAGCAGTAAACATATGATTAGACATAAGTAGCCCATGCTTTTTGTGGCTGTGCCACTAGGGCATTATCAGGGTGGCAACCATAGCCATTTGACTGCTTTTTGGTATAAGTGATACAAAGGCCAATAAAATATCCTTCTGCATAGATATAGCAACATTATACGTTATAGTGCTAGTTTTAAGTAAGATGGTCCTAATGTGGTTGTGTGCTCTATCTCTAGTTAGAGATGTTTATGATTACTTCCGAGCTGTCCTACAGCGTGACGAAAGAAGTGAAAGAGCTTTTAAGCTAACCCGGGACGCTATTGAATTAAATGCAGCCAATTATACAGTGTGGTAAGTAATATACGTTGTCAGTATTCCCTGCATAAATGTTTTACTTTAAGTGGCTTTTCTTTTTCAAGCTGTACTTTAATTTTTTGGTTGGGGAGATGGAGTTTTGCTTTTGTTGCCCAGGTTGGAATGCAGTTGGTACGATCTTGGCTCACTGTAACCTTTGCCACCTGGGTTGAAGTGATTCTCCTGCCTCAGCCTCCTGAGCAGCTGGGATTACAGGCAGCCGCCACCATGCCTGGCTACTTTTTTTATATTTTTAGTAGAGATGGAGTTTCACTATGTTGGCCAAGCTGGTCTTGGACTCTTGACCTCAGGTGATCCACCCTCCTTGGCCTCCCAAAGTGTTTGGATTACAGATGTGAGCCACCAAGCCTGGCCTTTAATTTTTATCAAAATCGATTTGAGTATGGGTTTAAGAAGCTGCATGAAAAAAAGTAGCAATTCCAGCCCATTCCCTCCTACCGCCAGTTCCACTCCACAGAGGCAATAACTCTTAGGGATTTTTTTCTTGAATTAATCTCCATATTCTAGATAATTTGCTTAATTGTTATTATTTTTTTCATTTTAAACATTATTCCTTCTGTGAAAGATCGTTCATTCTCCACTACCCTCTCTCCATCACAAATGAGCACTCAAACTTATGTTCATGCTGACCCACATTTTAAAGTGTAATTACATTCCTTCTAACAGTGTCATTTTTGTTTTGTTTTCTTTGTACCAGTAGGTAATTTGTCTTCCAGATGCTCTGATATATGTAAAGTGTCATTTTTCTATTGAACACAGGTCATCCTTCAGTTCCATTTTTCTTTTCACTAGTTGGGTGCTGCATACCTGGTCTTCAGCTTGTTCATGTGTTAGATCTCCTGTGTCCTAGACCCCATACCTTTCTCTTTCTTGATTTACTTTCTCATTTTATAGAGCACATCATTGAGTGGAAGGATGGAAAGTAATTTTTGAGATTTATACAATTAAAAATCAGTAGTCTCTCTTCAACTATAGTAATAGGATTCTAGATTGGGTATTATTTTCCCTAGGAAATTTAAAACTCTTTCTGTTTCTCTTAGCTTCTTTTCAGGTTGAGAAGATTTCCATTCCTTTGTTTAAAACTTCTTTTTAAGTTCTGGGGATTTTTTTGTTTTCTTCTGATAATTTCTTCTCTCTTTCCTCTGTTTACTTTTTCTGGAATGCCTTTTAGTTATATGTTGTATCTCCTGGATTACCTTTTCTTATATCCATTTCTTTGTCTTTTATTTTCTTTTGAGATATTTCCTCAATTTTATTTTCTAACTCTTGTATGGATTTTTAAAGATTTCTACATTTAATTTGGGGGAGCAGTTTTTTGTTCTCTGAATATTTTTTTTTTAAATAGTGTCGTGTGTGTTTGTGTATGTGTGTGTGTGTGTGTGTGTGTGTGTGTGTGTGGTGTGTTTTAGAAGTACAGTTACCTTGGAGTTTATTTAAACTAAGAAAAAAGTCGTAATGTTTTCATGTAATACGTACTTGGTTCCTTAAATAACAATTATGTGTCAGATAGGGGAAGGAATTAAGGAATTTGCACTTGTGATCCATACAAACCACCAACATTTTAGGTTGTACACAATTAAAGAAATATCTAGATTGGACGTGATGGTTTATGCCTGTAATCCCAGCTCTTTGGGAGGGCAAGGGGGGCGGATCACAAGGTCAGGAGTTCGAAACCAGCCTGGGCAACACAGTGAAATCCCATCTTGGTACGCCTGTAATTCCAGCTACTTGGGAGGCTGAGGTGGGAGAATCACTTGAACCCAGGAAGCAGAGGTTGCAGTGAGCAGAGATTGTGCCACTGTACTCCAGCCTGGGTGACAGAGTGAGACTCCGTCACCAAAAAAAATAAGGAAATATTGGAAATACTTTTTAAAACAGTGTAGTAGCCAGTACACTCCAGCCTGGGCAACAAAGCGAGACTCCGTCACCAAAAAAAATAAGGAAATAATTAGAAATACTTTTTAAAACACTGTAGTAGCCAATACATAGAGGCAAGCTGTAGGTGGGCACAGGAATGCAGTTTATAAAAGAAAGAAAAAATTAGGAGCTACTGAATTTCTTTAAAATCACTGAGTAAGAAAAGCAGCAGTGAACTTACTTTTTTTTTTTTCCCCATGTTTTAAAAAAGTGACTTTTTAAATTACTATCCGCAGGTAGGGCCTGCATGAGGTGGTTGGTGTGCTGGGCTCGGGATGATGTGTGGACTGTGGAGATGACAGAAAGGCAGGAAGGAAATGGGGTGTATTTGAAGGCCAGGCCCAAGGGGTCCTCAGGTCCGCTTCTTGGAAGGGACATCCTTGAGGAAGGAATCATGGCAAGTCATAGCTAGGCCACCAATCAGATTAAGAAATTCTGAGAAATCTAGCTGCCCATCATTGTTGGTGTCCAGTTTCTTCATCATACGGTCAAGGACACTGGGGTCCTTCTTGTTCTTTGTGAAGGCAGCCAGTTTTCTATCCATGTTGCTTAGGAACTCCATCTCAGAGAGAGTGTAGTTACAAGCATCCTTTCCAGTGTACTTCTGGAAAACAGTAGTCAGGGACTCGATGCACCACTCAGCCTCTGTAGAGCTGGAGATTTTTGCCATGTTGAAGCTGAGCGAGGCATGTGGGAGGCTGTGGTTGGGAGCAGCAATGAGAGCTCTGGGCATGGCATGCAGGTCTGGAGCCTCTCCCTGACCCACGGAAACACTGACCTTTCATATTGATTTTACGCAGTTCCTATATAGTACCTTGAGCAAAAGTTAAGACTCTTCTCCTCTATTTTTGGTAAATGACTACATGGTAAACTTAGATGACTTTTTCCTCTGGATTTTACCTGGGAGTAGCTTCTTAAAATTTTTATTTAAAAAAGGGCAGGTTTGCCACTTTTATACTACTGTCACTAATGTTAATATTTCTTGGGATCTCAGGAAGATTCATATTCTTTACAACTGATACAGCACTGGCCGGAGCTTCCGCTAAGCCAGCCTCAGATTCTTCCAGCTTATTTTCTGTATCAATTTGTGTAACAGTCTCATTTATGTTAGTCTTTTTTTTTTTTTTTTTTTTTTTTTTTTTTTTTTTGAGACGGAGTTTTGCTCTTGTTACCCAGGCTGGAGTGCAATGGCACGATCTCGGCTCACCGCAACCTCCGCCTCCTGGGTTCAGGCAATTCTCCTGCCTCAGCCTCCTGAGTAGTTGGGATTACAGGCACGTGCCACCATGCCCAGCTAATTTTTTGTATTTTGAGTAGAGACGGGGTTTCACTGTGTTGACCAGGATGGTCTTGATCTCTTGACCTCGTGATCCGCCCGCCTCAGCCTCCCAAAGTGCTGGGATTACAGACTTGAGCTACCGCGCCCGGCTTATGTTAGTCTTTAATAGCGTTCCCCCATCACCATTTCTGCAAGAATACTGTGAACCTTGTCTACATGGAAGATCAAATCCAGTTCACAGACTTTTTTTTTTTTTTTTTTTTTGAGACAGTGTTGCTCTTGTTACCCAGGCTGGAGTGCAATGGCACGATCTCGGCTCACCGCAACCTCCGCCTCCTGGGTTCAGGCAATTCTCCTGCCTCAGCCTCCTGAGTAGTTGGGATTACAGGCACGTGCCACCATGCCCAGCTAATTTTTTGTATTTTGAGTAGAGACGGGGTTTCACCATGTTGACCAGGATGGTCTCGATCTCTTGACCTCGTGATCCGCCCGCCTCAGCCTCCCAAAGTGCTGGGATTACAGGCTTGAGCCACCGCGCCCGGCTTATGTTAGTCTTTAATAGCGTTCCCCCATCACCATTTCTGCAAGAATACTGTGAACCTTGTTTACGTGGAAGATCAAATCCAGTTCACAGACATTTTTTTTTTTTTTTTTTTGAGACAGTGTCGCTCTTGTTACCCAGGCTGGAGTGCAATGGCATGATCTCGGCTCACCGCAACCTCCACCTCCTGGGTTCAAGCAATTCTCCTGCCTCAGCCTCCTGAGTAGCTGGGACTACAGGCACGCGCCACCATGCCCAGCTAATTTTTTGTATTTTTAGTAGAGACGGGATTTCACCACGTTGACCAGGATGGTCTCGATCTCTCGACCTCGTGATCCACCTGCCTCGACCTCCCAAAGTGCTGGGATTATAGGCTTGAGCCACCGCGCCCGGCCTCACAGACATTTTTAAAACATTTATCTAATGTTTCCACAAATACTTGAATTAGATCTAAAATGCCAAGTTCATTCTCTGAAGAATCCACACAGAAGACAAAATATTAACATTGCATAATGTCTATAAGTCAGTTTGTTGTCGGATCCTCTAATTAATAATCTTCCTTCTAGGAAATTACAAACATTTTCATCTCTCTTAGATACGAAATGGAAAGTCCCCCTGATGATTTGCTGTTGTGTATCTTCACTGTAGGGATGGTAGAACTTGGAGAGCCTCGTCTTCCCATGGTTGTTGAAGATTAGGATGGCTTTGATCATGGCTGGGCACTGGGGGCCAGGGCGGGGGGCAGGTGCTTGACTCTCGCCAGAGATCCTTCCCCACCTGTCCCTTCTTTTTTTTTTTTTTAATTTCATGGGTATGAGATCTTTTCATCTCTTTTGGTCTCCTTCATGGTTGGTAATTCTTGACTTTCTTTTTATGCTTATAAGAGAGACAGGAAAAATCCTGACTGAAAGCCATGCTTCTGGCAGGATTTATCAGCCAGAGGGCTTCTCTGTGAAGTTACTGAGTGGAGATGTGGCTATGTTGTAGTGAAATCTCACTTGGTCAGTATTTAAATCTTTTCTCTTGGACAGTGTCTCTCAAAGAGGATTAAGTAGTTTATTGCTTAAAGAGTATACATTTGGCTGCCACAGTTCTAGGGGATCAGGCAGGGGAAGATGGTAGGAGAGTCTTACTGTTTAGGATGTCAGCTTTTTGCAGATCTTACCTTGTGATTTGAAAAAGAAATTTTTTTTTTCTAACTTAGTATATCAACATTTTAAATGTCCTTGTTTCCACCCTTTAACTTACCCTGACTTCTAGTGTGCCTAGTAACCCATTTCTCCTTCATATTTTTCCAGAGAATAAAGCCACTTGTCTCCTGCCCAAGACAGAGGATGTCACTTCTGCTCAGGGGAGTGGGAAGGGTCTTGACTGCCAAGGACTCTTTTTCTATAGTCTTTCCACTGCTTTTAGTCCCACCTTTGATGCCCAGTTTTGGAAATATGTCATACCTCTGATTTCTGGAATTTTCTTACGGTCTTATTCTGTGTTTTAGTCAGTTAAATCTTGTCTACCTGCTTAAACTTCCCATAATGTTGTTGACCTCTTCCAGTTGCCGTGGTATGTTTGTCCCAGATTCTCTTTGTTCTTGTGGGTTTATTCCTTTGTTGTCATTTTAGTGGGGTTTTATTAGGGAGTAAGAATAAACTCGTTTACTTAATCCAGCCTGTTTAACCGGAATTCTCAAGTGTGTTTCGTCATTTTTGGAACTTAGAATACACTTAAAGATTGCCTGCGAGTTTATTGATGTTGTGAAAAAAGCAGTATACCTGGAATCATTACCCATAAAAGCCAAGGGCTTATATTTACAGTCTCTGTGAAGTCTACTTTTTAAAAATAATAATGGAGAGACATACTATCGTCTCTCCTACTTTGCAGTTCATTTTATTTTATTATTATTATTTTTGAGACAGAGTGTCACGCTGTTGCCCAGGCTGGAGTACAGTGGTGTAATCTCGGCTCACTGCAACCTCTGCCTCCCAGGTGCAAGCGATTCTTGTGCTGCAGTGTCCTGAGTAGCTGGGTTTGCAGATGTCTTCCAGCATATCCAGCTAATTTTTGTATTTTTAGTAGCGATGGGGTTTCACTATATTGGCCAGGCTGATCTCGAACTCCTGACCTCAAGTGATCTGCCTGCCTTGGCCTCCCAAAGTGAACAGTTCATTTTAAAAGCTAATAAAATTAGGTCCTGGAATGCCCATTACTTAGTAATTGGAAATTTTGAAGTAAAAATATGCCAGAACTAACTTTTTAGGAAACATTTTTTTGTTCTTGGTTCTTCACCTATGGGGAAATTAAAGAGAAACTTGTTTCATTTATAAGCAGCATTTTTGTGGTGGTTCTACAAGTAAATATTTTGTTAATGTTTATAATAGAATTAATTTTTTATATGAATAATGTATCTACAGAAACAAGCTGTACTATATAGGGAAAGAGATGTCTTTGTTTCTCATATTATAGAACACCGGTGACCAGAGTAGTACCTGAAAATAATTTTAGTTGGTTTTCTATCATTACTTAAGATATAGAAATTTATTTTTCTTCTCTCTCGTACTTGTTACCTCTCACTATTTTTACTAAATGTGCTGATTTCTTCTAGTCACCAGATAGTTGTATGAATTTGGACACCCACAAGCAGTTTTATACAGAGTATCTCTGTATAATTTTTTTTTTTTTTTGAGATGGAGTTCCCCTCTGTTGCCCATGCTGGAGTGCATGGCACAATCTTGGTCAACTGCAGCCTCCACCTCCTGGGTTCAAGTGATTCTCCTTCCTCAGTCTTCCTGAGTAGCTGGATTACAGGCACACGCCACCACGCCCAGCTGATTTTTTTTTTTTTTGTATTTTTAGTATAGGCAGGGTTTCCCCATGTTAGCCAGGCTGGTCTTGAACTCTTGACCTTAGGTAATCTGCTCACCTTGACCTCCCAAAGTGCTGGGATTACAGGCGTGAGCCACCACGTCCAGCCTGTAATTGATTTTTTCTTTTTTGAGACGGAGTCTTGCTCTGAGTGCACTGGCGCAATCTTGGCTCACTACAACCTCCGTCTCCCAGGTTCAACTGACTCTCCTGCCTCAGCCTCCCAAGTAGCTGGGACTACAGGCACGTGCCACCATGCCCAGCTAATATTTTTAGTAGAGAAAGGATTTCACCATATTGGCCAGGCTGGTCTCGAACTCCTGACCTTGTGATCTGCCTGCGTTGACCTCCCAAATTGCTGGGACTATAGCCGTGAGCCACCATGCCCTGCCATATAATTGTTAAATTATACAGAATACCTGCCAAAATTTTGTCTAACTGTATTGCTAACTTGTAGCTGTGTTTGATGTTGTTACTAGGCAACTTCTGTGGAATAACACGACTTTGGCTTTTTATATTTGCCCTAGGCATTTCCGGAGAGTTCTCTTAAAGTCACTTCAGAAGGATCTACATGAGGAAATGAACTACATCACTGCAATAATTGAGGAGCAGCCCAAAAACTATCAAGTTTGGTAAGTTGAAATTAGGAAGAAAGGATGTCACGATGCTAATATTAATAGTACTTGCTGATGGATGATGAGATCATTGGGAAATTTTTGTTTCTTTGTAATTTGAGTCCTTTACATTGGAGTTACTGTTAACTGCCTCATGGGATTGTTAGGATGATTAAAGAAAATAATTTGGCCGGTCGCGGTGGCTCACGCCTATAATCCCAGCACTTTGGGAGGCCGAGGCAGGTGGATCACGAGGTCAAGAGATTGAGACCATCCTGGTCAACATGGTGAAACTCCATTTCTACTAAAAGTACAAAAAATTAGCTGGGCACGGTGGCATGTGCCTATAATCCCAGCTACTCAGGAGGCTGAGGCAG